CATGAAAGAGGATATTCCACTAAAACTTAACCAAACCTTCCTCCCAAAACTAACAGCCTACTATGTCAGAGAGGATGCCAAATGCAACTTGTCAGACTTTAAGATGGATAAAACACTGTTGTTTCAACAAGAGAAAGACTGATTTTCACCCTCTGATACATATTCACTTTATAATGGATAGTTAACTCTGTGAAAACTCTGTCTCTTGCTTTCCATCTGGTAACAACCATGCTGAAAGAACAGGCTTATTATCAAAAGGTATCTGATAGTGGCAGATTTCCGACATCCCCAATGTTTGTGGAATACAGAAGATGAAAAGGTTAAGGAATGGAGCATGCTGCGCTAAAATGGACCAATGCCCAAGAAGTCTAGCATCCTGTTCCTGACAGAAGTCAGACATGAGCTTTCTGAAAAATGAAAGGCAATCGTCATGCCCTGCTAAACCCCTGTGCCGACAGGACTGAAGGTTTGAATCCGGGTAGAGCGCGGATGAGCTCCCTCTATCAGCTCCAGCTCCTCATGCGAGGACATGAGAGAAGCCTCCCACAAAGATGATAAAAAAATCAAAAACATCTGGGTGTCCCGTAGACAACGTCCTTGCAGACAGCCAATTCTCTCACACCAGAAGCGACTTGCAGTTTCTCAAGTCACTCCTGACACGACAAAAAAAAAAGCCCTGCTATTTGGCTCCCAGCAACTGCACTATCAGAAGATAGTCTAGGCTTGGGGAAACTTGGGCCCTCCAGGTGTTTTGGACTTTAACTCCCACAATTCCTAACAGCCGTTAGACTGTTAGGAACTGTGGGAGTTGAAGTCCAAAACACCTGGAGGGCCCATGTTTGCCCATGACTGCTATAGCCCTAAACTGGGAACTATAGTTATCAATAATGATGAATTTCTCCAATAATTTTCTTTTCAAGTCACCTACACCAGTTGTTATCACCGCATCATGTGCCAACAGAATCTGTACAACAATGACACACTGCATGAATAAACACAAAAGACTGCTAAAAAAAAAACTTCTGTTACAATTAATTTCACTTGGAGAGTTCATGTTGTAGTGTTATGACTGGAAGGAACTGATCTCTCCTTACTGTCTCTACATCATAAATCAACAGTGGCATTTACCGCTAGGCCCACCCAGCCTCTCTTGTCCATAGAGACCTATCTGTAGGTGTCTTGGGTCTTTCCTCAAGGGAAAGCTGCTTCCACCTCTTTTCTAGTTTTCTATTTTGAACGGCACTCCCCAAGAATAATGTATCTGTGCTACCGTTAACTAGAAAATAACAACATGTTGACTATGCTTTATCCAGAAATCCCCCAAAATCCAAAACTGCCCACATGGGTGACTCAGATACTTTCTGATGGTTCAAGACACACAAACCTTCCTTCATAAAATGTTGTATACATAATGAACATGCGATACATGAAACATCAATGAATTTCGTGTTTAGATTTGAGTCCCTTCCCCATGATATTTCCAGGTCAAGCCTCCCTCGCGTGTAATGCTTGAGACCAGAAGTGTTTGGGTTTTTTTTGGTTTTTTTTTAGTATTTTGAAATATCTGTGTTTGCACACACATGCATGGTGAGGTATCTTGGAGATGGGACCCAAGTCTAAACACAACATTCATTTCTGTATCACATGCACCTTATACCAGGCATGGGCAAACTTGGGCCCTCCTGGTGTTTTGGATTTCAACTCCCACCATTCCTAACAGCCTCAGACGCTTTCCTTTTTCCTCTCAGTCACTTAAGCCCACCTGGAGGGCCCAAGTTTGCCCATGCCTGCCTTATACACATTGCCTTATTTTACACCATATTTTCAATACTTTTGCACATGAAACAAAGTTGCGTACACTGAGCCACAAGAAAACGAAGGTGTCATTATCTCAGCCACCCTTCTGAATGATTTTGGAATATTTCCATATTCCAGGTAAGGAATTTTCAACCTGCAAATATTCCAAAATCTGTGGGGAAATTCCAGACACTTCTGGCTCTAAACACTTTGGAGAAGGGATTCTTAACCTGTACTAAGTAACATTTCACAAACTTCTTCAAGCTGCATAAAACTAATTGCTTTACTGCCAATGTTTGGGTTGTTAGGCTAGTTTGGATCTCAGATGTGTGGAGTGCAGCTGTGGTAGGTGAGCAGAGAAAAAATCTCTGGACATGCTCAGAGGCCCTCTTGTGGTAATACAGCCAAGGCTGCATCTGCACTGTAGAACGAATGCAGTTTGACACTACTTTAACTGTCATGGCTTAATGCTATGCAATTGTGGAAGATGTAGTTTAGTGAGATACCAACATTCTTTGGCAGAGGAGGCTAATGACCTTATAAACCTACAGTTCCCAGGATTTGATAGCTTTGAGTCATGGCAGCTAAAGTGGTGTCAAACTGCATTACTTCTGCAGTGTAGATGCACCCTCAGATCTGTGGATATCTTATGGTGGGTGAGCAGGGGAGAACTCTTTGGACATGATCAGGGGCCCAACTTCTCAAAAGTGCAGGAAATACCATGCTTTGCTACTAATGTGTGGGTTAATATGCCAGAAGTTTGCCTTGAACCCGTGGTCCAGATCTGAGATATGTGAAGCACAGGGCAGAACTCCCTGGACCTGCTATGAGGCCCAACCCTTTACTATAAAGGCAGGGGTTGCTAGACCAGAAGCTTGCCTTGAATCTTTGGTCTGTCTCTCCGATGTGTGGAGTGTCCCTGTCCTGTGCTGGATGAGTAGGGAAGGACTCTCTGGATGTGCTCAGAGGCACAACCTCTTCAAGCTGCAGGAAACTCTTTGCTTTGCTACTAAGGTAGGTGCTGCTATATCAGAAGCTTGCCTTGAAGTCTTGGCTCTCAAATATGTGAAGCCCAGGTATGGCGTAGGACAGAACTCCTTGGATCTGCTCTGAGACCCAACCCTTCTGGTCTAGCAGGGGTTGCTAGACCAAAAGCTTGCCTTGAAGCTTTGGTCTGGCCCTCAGGTGTGTGGAGTGTCCCTGTCCTGTGCTGGGTGAGTAGAGGAGGATCCTATGGACATGCTCAGAGGCACAACCTCTTCAAGCTGCAGGAAACTCTGTCCTTTGCTACTATGGTAGATGGTGCTAGACCAGAAGTTTGCCTCAAAGCCTTGGTGTGGCTCTAAGGTGTGTGAAGACCAGGTAAGGAGTAGGGCAGAACTCCCTGGACCTGCTCAGAGGCCCAACCCTTCACTATGAAGGCAGGTGCTGCTTGACTAGAAGCTAGCCTTGAAGCCTTGGTCTGGATCTGAAATGTGTGGAGTATCCCTGTCCTGGGCGAGCAGGGAATAACCCTTTGCTATGCTATTAAGGCAGGTGCTGCTTGACCAGAAGCTTGCGTTGAAGCCTTGGCCCGGCTCTCAGGTGTGTGAGGTACAGGTAAGAAGTGGGGCAGAACTCCCTGGACCTGCTCAGAGACCCAACCCTTCACTATTAAGGCAGGTGCTGCTTGACCAGAAGCCTGCCTTGAAGCCTTGGTCTGGATCTGAAATGTGTGGAATGTCCCTGTCCTGGGCGAGAAGGGAAGAACCCTTTGCTTTGCTATTAAGGCAGGTGCTGCTTGACCAGAAGCTTGCGTTGAAGACTTGCTGAGATGTGTGGAGTGTTCCTATCCTGGGTGAACAGGGAAGAACCCTTTGCTTTGCTATTAAGGCAAGTGCTGCTAGACCAGAAGCTTGCGTTCAAGCCTTGGTCTGCCTCTCAGATATGTGAGGTGCAGGTATGACATAGGGCAAAATTGCCTCGCCCTGCTCTGCAGCCCAACCCTTTATTATCAAGGCAGGGCTTGCTAGACCTAGACCAGAAGCTTGCCTTGAAACCTTGGTCTGGACCTGAGATGTGTGGAGTGTCCCTGTCCTGGGTGAACAGGGAAGAACCCTTTGCTTAGCTATTAAGGCAGGTACTGCTAGACCAGAACCTTGCCTTGAAGTTTTGGCCTGGCTCTCAGGTGTGTGAAGCCCAGGTATGGAGTAAGGCAGAACTCTCTGGGCCTGCTCTGCGGCCCTACCCTTCACTATTTAGGCAGGTTCTGCTAGATCAGAATATTGCCTTGATTCCTTGCTCTGGATCTGAGCTGTGTGAAGTGTCCCTGTCCCAGGCAAGAAGGGGAGAACTCTTTGTTTAGCTATTAAGGCAGGTGCTGCATGGTCAGAAGCTTGCCTTAAAGCCTTGCTCTGTATGAGATGTGTGGAGTGTCCCTGTTCTGGGAGAACAGGGAAGAACTTTTGCTTAGCTATTAAGGCATGTGCTGCTTGATCAGAAGCTTGCCTGGAAGCCCTGGCCTGGCTCTCAGGTGTGTGAGGTGCAGGTATGGCATAGGGCAGAACTCCCTGGCACTGCTCAGAGGCCTACCCCTTCACTATTAAGGTAGGTGCTGCTTGACCAGAAGCTTGCCTTGAAGCCTTGCTCTGGATCTGAGATGTGTGGAGTGTCCCTGTCCTGGGTGAACAGGGAAGAAGCCTTTGCTTAGCTATTAAGGCAGGTGCTGCTAGACCAGAACCTTGCCTTGATGTCTTGGCCTGGCTCTCAGGTGTGTGAAGTCCAGGTATGGAGTAGGGCAGAACTCCCTGGACGTGCTCAGAGGCCCAACCCTTCACTATTAAGGCAGGTTCTGCTAGATCAGAAGCTTGCCTGGAAGCCTTGGCCGGGCTCTCAGGTGTATGAGTGCAGGTATGGTAAAGGACAGAACTCCCTGGCCCTGCTCAGAGGCTCAACCCTTCACTATTAAGGCAGGTGCTGCTTGACCAGAATCTTGCCTTGAAGCCTTGCTTTGGATCTGAGATGTGTGGAGAGTCCCTGTCCTGGGCGAGCTGGGAAGAACTCTGCCTAGCCATCAACCTTCTTGTAGACGGGAAGCTCGCCTGGAAGCCTTGGCCTGGCTCTCAGGTGTGTGAGGCAAAGGTATGGAGCGGGGCTGAACTGCCTGGCCCTGCTCCCGGGAGAGCCGGCCCCCTGTTTCCAGGGCGTCCCGTGCGCTTGCTCACCTGGATCTTCCTCCGCTCGCAGGCGGGGCCGGTGCCCTGGACGACGCTGTCGAGGACGGTGACGAGGCGGGCGTCGGGGGCCACGAAGCAGGAGTTCCTGGCCTGGCGGATGGCCTCCTCCACCTCGGCGAAGCGGAAGGCGCAGAGGGCCGCGGGCGGGGGCGGGCGGGGGGCGCCGGGGGCGGGCGGGGAGGCGGGGGCCTTTTCGAAGACGCCGAAGAGCAGCTCCTGGGGCGGGGAGGCGGCGCGGGCGGGGAAGACGGAGACGAGGCGGTTGTAGAGCTCTCCCTGGGGGGCGGGGGCGGCGCACTGGAGGCCCACCTGGATGTAGGACTCGGTCAACTTCTTGGTCTCCCCGCCGGCGGTGCTCCCGTTGGGCGCGCCGCCCTCTCCCGCCTCGCCCAGGCAGATGCGCGCCAAGAGGCTGTGCGAGTGGCTCTCCTTCTCGCGCGCGTTGGCCTCGCTGTTGAGGGCCAGGTAGGCGTAGGCGGCGGCGGCGGGAGGGGCGGCGGGAGGGGCGGCCCCCGGGGCTTTGGCGCCGCGCGCGGTCCCGGCGTGGAGGAAGGCGCGGACGAAGGTGAGCTTGTGCCGCTCCTTGGCGCCCTGCTTAATCTTGAAGATGTTGTCGTCGGAGGGGTTGATGTCGAAGGTGAAGAGGCGGGAGAGGTCCCCGCGGGCGTCGAGGGCGCGGATGGCGATCTCGGGCGTGTTCTCGAAGCGGTGGTCCTCCAGGGAGGCGTTGCGCGGGAAGAAGGGGCTGCCCAGGCCCGTGTAGGTGGCGCCCACAAGCAGACGCGTCGCCCGCCCGCGCAGCACCAGCCCCACCGTCGAGGCCTCCGCGTGGTTGGCCGCCACGTTCAGCATGCTGGGGAAGACCGCCACGGGGCCCCCGCCGCCCCCAGCGCCATCCGCGCCCCCGCCCCCGCTGGGAGGGAAGGCCACGGCCAGGGCGGAGACGTTGTCGAGGCGGCGCAGCGTGCAGAAGCCCTGGTAGACGGAGCCACAGACCACGAGGAGGCCCTGCTCCGGGTCGGGCGCCAGGAGCTTGTTGTAGTTGTCGGTGGGGCGCTTGCGGTGCTCGCAGGAGGCCTGGGGCAGCTGGGGCGCGTGGCAGAGCGGGCTGTCCTCGCGCGGGCCCTCCTCCGCCTCCGCCTCCAGCGTCAGGTTGGGCGCCGAGAGCTGGAAGAGGCGGTTCACCGACGCCAAGTAGAGCCGCCCGCCCGAGGCGTCCAGGGCGAAGTTGTTGGTCAAGGTGGGCGAGGGGAAGCGGCTCCGCACCGACAGGCCCCGCCCCGCGCCCGGCAGGCACACCACCAGCACCAGGCACACCAAGAAGGAGAAGGAGAAGGGGGAGAAGCAGGAGGAAGGCAAGAACCCGAAGGGAGCAGGCACCTGCTGCTCCTGCTGCTGCTGCTCAGCGCCCATCCCGGCGCCGCTGCCTCTGCCTGCTCTCCTGCGCGCCCAGCATCCAGCAGAAGGAGCAGAAGGAGGAGAAGCGGGAGCGCTCCCGAGGAAGACCCGGCACGCCTCGGCGGCTCCCGAGTGACGCCGCCAGGAAGGGAAGTCCCCAGCCCTGGTGGCCAACCATCGGCAGGAGAGCGGGCGGGCGGGCGGGCGGGCAAGCAGGCAGCCCTTCCTTCCTTCCTTCCTTCCTTCCTCCCTTCTCTCCTTGGCTGGCCTCTTTGGAAAGACCCGCTTGCCTCGGAGGGAGCCCGTGTGGAGGCGGTACACCTCGGAGGGAGGGGAGAGGAGGGAGGGGGGAGGGAGGGAGAGCCCGCCCCGAAGTCTGACAGCGCCGCTCCCCCCTCGCGCGCTCCCTCTTCCCCTCGCCCTCTTCTTCTTTGCCCCAACCCTCCCTCTCTCTCTCTCTCGTCCTCTCCCCCTCTTTCTCTTGAATTCTTTCCCCACCCCTTTCCCTCGCCCTCCCTCCCGCCGTCTCTTCTTTGCCCCCAAACCTCCCTCCCTCTCTCTCTTCACTCCCTATCCTTTTCTCTCCTTTCCCCCCAAGTCTCGCTCTTTCACCCTCTCTCCCTCTTTCTCTTGAATTCTTTCCGCAAGCTTCTCTGTTTCTACCTCTCCTTTTCTCTCTCTTCTCTCCTTTCCCCAACCTTCTCTCTCCTCTCCCCTCCCTCTCCACAACCCTCTCTCCCTCAACCTCTCTTTCTCTCTGTCCTTTCTCCCCAACCTTCCCTCTTTCTCCCTTCTCTTCCCCCCCCTCTACACAGTCTCTCTCCCTCAATCTCTCTTTCTCCCTGTCCTTTCTCCCCCTCTTTTCCCCAACCTTCCCTCTCTCTCCCTTCTCCCCTCCCTCTCTTAGTCTTTCCCCCCCAACCTCTCTCTCTCTCTCAACCTCCGCTCTCCTTTCCCTTCTTCTTCATTCCCCCCTCTCTCTTCACTCCTTATCCCTCTTTTTCTCTTGTGCCCTCTCCCCCTTTCTCTTTAATTCTTTCCCCAAGCTTCTCTCTTTCTCCCTCTCCTTTTTCTCTCTTCTCTCCTTTCCCCTCTCTTTTCCCCAACCTTACCCCCCCTCTTCTCCCCTCCCTGTCTTAGTCTTTTCCCCAACCTCTCTTTCCTCCACTCTTTTTTCCCTCTCACTTCACTCCTTATCCTTCTCACTCTCTCTCTCCCTCTCTCCCTCTTTCTCTTTAATTCTTTCCCCAAGCTTCTCTCTCTTTCCCTCTCCTCCTCTTTCCTCCTCCTTTTCCCCAACCTTCCCCCTTCTCTTCTCTTTTCCCCTCCTTCTCTTGGTCGTTCCCTCAACCTCTCTCCTCCTCAATCTCTCATTCCCTCTGCTCTCCTTTCCCTCCTGCTTCTTTCCCCCTCTCTTCTCTGCCTCCTTCTCTTTCCCCCAATCCCCCTTCTCTCTCAGTCTCTCTTTCCCCTCTCCCCTCTTTTCACCAACCTTCCCCCTCTCTTCTCTCCCTCTCTCTTCTCCCAATCTTCTCTCTCCCTCAGCCTCTCTTTTCCCCTGCTCTCCTTTCACTCCTTCATCCTTCAACCTCTCTCTCTTCTCTCCCCTCTCTCTCCCTCCTCAGTCTCTTTCTCCCTCTCCTCACCCCCTTTTCCTCAACCTTCCCTCTCTCTCTTCTCTCACCTCCCCCTCACTTTCCCCCAACCCTCTCTCTTCCTCAACCTATCTTTCCCCCTCTCCTTTTCCTCCGTCTTCTTTCCCCCCTCTTCTCTCCCCTCCCTCTCTTTCCCCAACCCTCTTATCTCCCTCAGTCTCTCTTTCCCCCTCTCCTTTCCCCTCTTTTCCCCAACCTTCCCCCCCTCTCTTCTCCCCCGCTTCCCCCCAACCCTCTCTCCCCCTCAATCTCTCTTTCCCTCGCTCTTTTTTCCCTTCTTTCTTCCTCTCTTGCTCTGCCTGGGGACAAGCTGTTGCTCTCCGACTTCTCCTAGGTCCTTCTCTCCTGTCCCTCCCCCATTTCCCCATCAATTCCCCCTCCTCTCCTTCTCTATTTAGGGTTTGTCATGTGAATATGATTAAGTTAAAGCCACCCCCTATCCCACCCCACCCCAAAAAAGCTGGAAGGCAATCACAGCACCAAAACACAAAGAAGCGACTCTGAGGAGCGAGCGACGTCTTTCTTCGCTCACAAATACGTCTTCTGTTCCCGGAGTATTTTATTTATTTCTTTTTGGTCGTCTTCTTAAGCATTGGGCAGCAAGAATGCATTGCAGGCAGGACCGCGGTGGCAGACAGAGACAAGGAGATGCTGAACTTTTTTTGGTTTCTGTTCTGTCCTAGCCCTAAAGCACCATCTCAGTCGTTTGTCAAAATAGACCTAAGCAAACACATTAATTTGAGGCAAAGCGGCACTCGGCTGGCCTTCTCCTTGGAGCTGCCTCCCCCCCCCCCCCCCCCAATAAGGAAAATAAGTGAACTCCCAGGCCTCTTGACATGCCCCCTCTCTCCCCACCCTCAAAAGGGTTTGACAAAGAAGGATAACAACAAAGAGAAGGCCAGGCTGTCTGGCGGTTGGGGCTGAGGAAGAAATTAACTGGACAGATATGCCAAGCAGGGAGGATTGGATGAGTTTAGTCCAGGCATGGGCAAAGTGAGGCCCTTTGGGTATTTTGGACTTCAACTCCCACCACTCAGCATGCTGGAAGAAGCAAATACCACCAGCATTGAAGCGATGGTCCTCCACCATCAACTCCTCTGGATCAGCCACATTGTTCGGATGCCTGACCACTGTCTCCCAAAGCAGTTGCTCTACTCCGAACTCAAGAATGGAAAATTGAATGTTGGAGGACAGGAAAAGAGATTCAAAGATGGGTTCAAAGTCAACTTTAAAAACTGTGGCATAGACACAGAGAACTGGGAAGCTCTGCCCCTTGAGCGCTCCAGCTGGAGGTCAGCTGTGACCAGCAGTGATGTAGAATTTGAAGAGGCATGAATGGAGGGTGAAAGAAATGTGTCAAGAGGAAGACGTGTCAAACTAACCCCGACCGGAACCACCTTCCACCTGGAACCAATGCCTTCACTGTGGGAAAAATGCAGATCAAGAATAGGGCTCCACAGCCACCTACGGACCCACCGCCAGTACACTGATTTTGGGAAGACTATCCTACTTGGACAACGAGGGATCACCAAAGTAAGTAAGTAAGGTTAATCCCAGCTGGACTATGGAGCCCCTGGTGGTGCAATGGGTTAAACCCTTGTGCCAGCAGGACTGCTGCCAGAAAGGTTGGCAGTTCAGACTCCCATCTGTCAACTCCAGCTTCTCATGAGTGGACGTGAGAGAAGACTCCCATAGGATGGTAAAACATCGGCAATGTCTTTGCAGACAGACAATTCTCTCACTCCAGAAGAGGCTTGCAGTTTCTCAAGTTGTTCCTGGACTGCCCATTCAACCAGTCATTGAATGATGAGTCTACACATTGATAAATCTAATGGATTCAATGGGAATACTTCTTAACACTTTTCTACTCTGCTATTGAATATGCATGCCCAGTGTGGAATGCATCTCACCATGTTAAAATAGTGGATGTGGCTCTTAATGAGACATGCTGCATTATCACAGGATGTCTACGCCCCACACCGCTGGAGAAATTATACCGTTTAGCCGGTATTGTACCACCTGGCATCCGCTGGGAAGTAGCAGCCAGTAATGAAAGGCATTGACATCTCCGGCCCATCCTCTGTATGGATATCAGCCTTAAATCAAGAAATAGTTTCCTAAGATTTACAGAGATACTCGCAGGAACAGCAAGCAAGAGTCCAAAAGTGGCAGGTTAAAACCTAGAACCTCAATCAGTGGCTGATACCGAATAAGAAACTCCCCTCTGGGCACACAAAAGAATGGGCAACCTCGAAGAAGAATGGGCAACCTGAACAGACTGTGCTCTGGCATCATGAGAGGCAGAACTAACCTTAAGAAATATGGCTACAAAGTGGAGAAGAGCAGACCACTTACCACAATGAGGTCTGAGCCCTGCCCCATGCACCTTCTTACAGCGACACCAGAGGCACTCAAAGTGGCTAGCTTCTGGTCAAACGAAATTTAGTACAATGCCAAGTTTTTGTATACATTATAACTGTATTCTCAATTCGCTTCTGACACAATAAATAAATAAATGGGGGTACTCTAGTCAAAACTGAAAGAGAATTTAAACTTCGGTGTGGCACAGATCAGAGTTATTTCTAGTTTATTTCCCAAAGCAGGTTGACTATCTCTTACCTGAAATGCTTGGTCCCAGAAGTGTTTGGAATTTTGTAATATATGCATTTGTATATACATACATAATGAGATATCTTGGAGACGAGACCCAAGTCCAAACACGAAAGCCATTTATGCTTTATACCCACCTTATACACATAGTCTGAAGCTAATTTTACATAGTATTTTAAACAATTTCATGCATGAAACAAAGTTAGTGTACGCTGAAGCATCAAAAAAACAAAGGTGTCACTCTCTCAGCAACTCATGTGGGCAGTTTGGGATTTCGGCATTCCTGATAAGGGATGCTTGGTTGCACATGGAAGAGACAGTTTTGACAGTATATCTTCTGCAGAAAGTCAGCATGGTTTGAGTGTCGGATTGTGATTCTGGGTTCAAATCCCCACTTGGCCATGGAAACCCATTTGGGCAAGTCACACTCTTTCAATATCAGAGGTAAATATTGCCAAGTCAATCCCATGATAAGTCCACCTTAGTGTCACTCTAAATCTGAAACAACTCAAAGGCACACAACAGTGGTATCTTCGTTGGAAGCCCTAAATCTGCTTAGTACCTGATTCAGCTCTTAAACAGAATGAAGTGGCAACCCCAGCAGTGGGTTTGTAGTATCAGGAAAGGATGGAAAACATTTCCTATTTTCTTGTTGTTGCATTAAAACTACCAGATGTAGAGAGGCGTATCTTGGATATTTTCTGCCTGAAGAGCAAAAATAACTTGATTGACCAAGTCCGGGGGTGGGGGTTTCTGCTTGCTTCACTCTCTCAGGCAGCAAAATATCTTGAGCCAGCTTAGAGTACTGTATCCTCATCATCATCATCATATTTAATTACTTATTAATCGCCCTCCATCCGAGAATGCTCTAGGCGATTTACAGCTAAATTGTAAAAGATAAAATACATACATACAGAAATTAAAAATTAACAGAGATCGAATGCTCTAGTAAAAAGCCAGGTCTTAAGTGCTAAAGTAAAAGGTCCTAAGTCACGCATGGCTCTCATATAGGGCGGCAAGGAATTCCATAAGGCAGGGGCAGAAATAGAAAAAGCCCTGCGTCTGGTACTTTCCAAGTGCACTTCTGTAGGACCTGGTCTATATACTGTATGCAATGTATGTGTTTTTTCATTCAGTTGCTTACGACTCTTTGTCGTAAGCCATCACCA